GTAATTACTGGCCTGATGCATTGGGTAGTGGAGTGTCGGATGCAAATGACATTTGAAATTACAATTTGGCAGTTTTATACATGTGCACGGTAAGAGTAATTATATAATATGGTATTAAGGGCTAGAATTGGGTATCATATGAAGCGTAATAGCCGAATTGTTCTCTAAATTAATTACGTATTTAATATAGTGACGTTCCTGAACATTTGAGAGCGTGTAATATTGGTTTAGCGTGAACACTGGATATGTATGATAGGGCCGGGCCTGGTAATGTCGTGGTGTGGGGAGATTGAATTGAAAATCGTGTAGAGAATTATGTGTGCATTTGTGGTTATCGAGATAAAGAAATTGATTGAGTTAACGTTGAAACAGGATGATTGATGGCTATTTACATTATAACCATTTACTTTATAAAGTATATATGGAAGCTGATCAGAATTACATTTCACCTTTGTGAATGTATATTAATGACACTATGTAAAAGACACATCAAACACTTTATGTAGGGCATACGTAAATTTGTGTATATGTATTTACGTATGTAGGTTAGCTTAGCATTTTAAAAGCACCGAATCACCTTCTGTGGTTGAGTGTTCAATAAACCCTTGAACTGTATGTTTAACACATCTCTAACCCTGTCCATGGAGGACAAGAAAATGTATATATGCTGGTTAGCATTGTAAATGTGTGGCCACGTCTGTGGTAGAAAATAATAAAAAACTTTATAGCCTAGCAATTGCTAACGAAGTCAAAGTTGTTAACTTTAATAATTGAATACTGATTTGCAATGAAAAGTAGGTTAAATATATATGAAATAATGTTATATTAAAATGTAATGTTAATGCGTGAAAATAAAATTGGAAAAATAATTGTGGCTTTATTACACTTTTTTGTTACCGTTTATGTTTGTGAAATTGAAATCACTGAATTTGACGACGAGCAGTTTCGGCAAATTGTGGCATCTGTAAAGAAAAACTTGTAGACCTTTCTATGCCTACAAACTTTAAGCCCGTGTGGTTATGTAGGAACTTGCATAATTACCAAAAGAAGGCATCAAGCTGGGACGTACATGTAGCCTCAGATGTCGCAAGGTATTATTCAAAAGGCGCAAAATACGATAGTGTGTGTAAAGCACATATAGAGAGCGACACGGAAGATATAGCAGTGACTTAAGATTGAATCAAGGGACTAGCGACCCCGAAAGGAAATCAGTAAACCATGACTTAATAATTAAAGAAATGTTTGGATAGTCCACACGGTACAGCAATTTATAGAAAGTGTTCAAAGACTGGCTTTAATGTAAAATACAACAAAACGTGACATGAAACTACTAATGTCTTGACTAATCAATCGGGATCTCTGCTTAGTTGTTAGCAATAGAAGTTCAGGTTATCGTCCAGAACTATGCCGACGTCAGTATTAAATTTTAGTGTAGCCTAATAGTGTTTCATTAGCGAAATATTTGGTAAAGACCTTTCGTCAAAAATAGTGTTGTCCTGAACCACGTTTCATCTATAATACTTTAAGCTCTAGTGTTATCCTGAATAATGTAGTGCCTTCGATAAGAAAAATAGCTATTATTTAATACCTTCACCAAGACATTTGACGGTTCAAGTCCTCAGGCTAGGCTCGTCTATTCAGCGGCCGAATCCAGAGAAGCGGTTATCATTTAACTTGCCGCGTAATTCAAACATGTCAAAATTTGTAATAAATTGTGCTAAATAGTTAGAGGGTAAGTAAGTAAGTAAGTAATTATCAAAAGAAGGCACCAAACCGGGAAGGCTATGTAGCACCATCAAAGACGCAAAATAATCAGAGGGCGCTAAATATCACCAAGGATGCCAATACGAGAACAAAAACGCATAAGGCGAACGATATCAAAAGTATCCGAGTCACCAAGAATTCTATCGAGGGACAGGTGACCGCGAGGGGCGGTCGGAAAGCAAGACATACGCTCGTCCTGGAAGTCAGGACATTCAAGAAGGACATGCACGACCGTAAGAGGGACAATGCAACTAGGACAATAAGGAGCAGGGCGGCGCTCCATCAAGTGACCATGGGTTAAGCGAGTATGGCCAATACGCAACCTCGCCAGAGCCGTTTCCCACCGCCGGTTACGGTGGAAGGAGGACTGCCACGAGGAAACACAACATTTAAGAGTACGTAGCTTGTTACCAGTCAAAGAAAATCAAGTTATTCAGTGGAGTGGTTCTTCATGAACTAGGCAGCCCGTCCTCAATGGCTAAAAGTAATTTGCTGTACCCGGCAAACCGTTTATGGATGGAAAAAGTTAAAAAACTGATGACGTCGGATCACCTTACAGCTTAGTACTGTTCGAACCACAACTCTAATTTTCTTATTACTAATAATGGCACACAGAACTGAAACATTTCCTAGATGCACAGTGTGCTAAAGGACTACCATCAATTTATATCTGGTAAAGTTCCTATTTTGAATGAACATGTTTCAAAACCGATGAACGTGTCTTCGGGGGTCGACCCAACGGACTGTCACAGGACGGGTTGAAACAATTTAGCATTTAGGGAGTTTAGAATTAGAGTAGCGTTAAACTCAATTTTAATCTTTCGTGGGTTTATAACCGAGCATGGAAAAAAAAAAATTAGAAGTCAAACGGCATCAGTTTGAAACAGCTTGTCTAACAATGATCTGTATTTAAATAATCTTAGATATACAAGTTCTTTAATACTGAAAGATATGTTTAGGTAATAGTTTGACGAGGATTATATAATCATACGTAGACGTATTGTTCAAGAAATATGCGGAAGGCCATTTCCATGTAATAATTGAGCAGTAGTCAATTTTGTACACGCTAGATATTCAAACGAAAGAATTGCAAGGTACATTTTATTTAATCCAATAATATATTAAATTTTGAAGCATGTAAAGTACGTAGCACTGCATTAACGTGTCACCATTAAATTAACACGACATGTCCCCTCAGTATTTAAGCTATATAAACTTTATATTTCATGTAATAGGTATATTGAAAAATACCATTTAACATTAATTTCTTATATATGTTAAAGTAAAATTACACGAAATATAAAGGAGAATAAAACCAAGAAAGGAATAGAGACATTAAAGTGGTAACCAACCCTTGACGATGGCATTGACACCAAATTTCTTTATTTCACATACACAGTACACGTTTATATAAATATTAAAAAAACCTGAATGCAGCCAATTCCTCCAAAAAAAAAACATGTACATTTTACAGTGAAAAACCAAGAGAAAATTCGATATGTCCGTCAGGTACAGTGTCGATAGAGCAACTGAAGAGAGATTCCTTGATAGAGAATAAACCTCCCCCACCACAAGACGGAGGAGCACGAGTCGACCATATTTCCCCGGCGAGGAATTGGGTGTTGTAACGATGGACGCCGAGGTAGTAATGATGTGGTCACAGGTCGGGGGGTCATCCACAATAACTTGGACGTCACGTGACCCTGTGAATGATGCTCATTTGAATGGTATGTTTGAGGCGGTTATTTTGAATGTATAAATGCATTTTGTTCAGTGGTAAGAGAATGTGTTTAGTTTTGAATAAGGGTTGGATAAATATTTTTGAAAAGCATGATAGAAAGTTGATGAAAAGTTGGAACGTGTTTGGATTAGGCGTTATTTAAATGTAAAATAGCAGGTGAAATTATCAATTGAGAATCGAAAAGACATAATAATGAATCAATGATAATATTATATATTATTTACAATGTGTAGAGAGAACAACCAAACCTTAAACTACCAAATATGAAAGAATACATCACAATCTTAACAAATGTGTACATTGAACGATATCTGCAAAGAAAAACAATCCCGATGTATCCCAACAGAACCCAAGCATGTAGGTTTCAAATTGTAAATATAGTATGTATATAATAAGGTAAATTAATAAGGAAAACACAACATTTTATTGAAACCATTGAAAATTTGAACACTCGCTAGACAGTTTCGTTAAGCTGTAAAAAGTTTGGGCTATTGTTTATCATCATATGTCTGAACACTGATTTGTAAAACAAATTGTCTCGGTATTGACATAAATGGTGGAAATCGTTATTCAATCAACTACCAAAAAGAGGAATAAGTAATAATGAAACGTGTTTAAATCAATGTTAATTTTGGTCGATTTGAGGGTCCTATTTGAAACGCAACTTCTCAAAAAAATAAAAGTAATAACTATTATGGATGAAATGTATAGATTTTGGGCTGTTGAACCTAAAAGGAATCCACTTGTAGTTTTTGTAAAGAGAGCATAGCAAAAAAAAAAAAAAAACTGAAATCTAACAATAAACCTAAGATGTCGTAGGCCTAAATATTCATTGGCCTATACAAAATCTTAGGCCTAATATAGTACATATATGTAATACCATATGCTAGTTCGTGTTAATATGTATTATATTTGGCCTACTATTGTTGGCCAAATATAGTACATATATGTATTATAATAGGCCTAGGAAGAAATAAAAATGATTGTTGCCTTGTTCTTTGTGCTTAATTAAAAGTACTAAAGGTGGAATTGAAATTGGATTTTATTAGTATTTTGAAGGAGGAGCCTGAGGTAGTTGGGACGGCAATATAGTACAAACTAGATGTAAAGGAGAATGAATAATAATAAAATGAGGCAAAGGAAGGAAGTACAACCAATTAGGCTGTACAATGTAATCAGATCGTTAGGGTAAATAAATAATGTTTTCGGATTGTGATAATGACAGTGTATTGGTGCTATGCTTTTTTCGTTACTCTTACGTAGTGAATGTTCAGTGTAATGTATGTACAGGTTCCCAGTTATAAAGATACAGGCATTTGTGAATAAAGTTATTGAGTAGAATAAATGTTGAGTAATGGCAGTCATAGTTGATGTCGTGAGAAATGGAATGTGAAAGATTGAACGTAATTTATTTTCCTGCTTAGCCACATGTTGGAAAAAAAATAAATGATGGCGATAATACATAAATGTAAATACGTTTAGAATAGTGCAACAAAAGTTTGTAATGATTGTAATAGAAGTCAAGTTGGCAACCCTCTGTAATTGGTGACATTGTCGACACCTGGCAACCCCCGGCTGCGACTCGAGGAGGTGAGGTTACCCGCTGAAGGTAGTCAGTGTCTACATGGGAGTGACTGAGTAAGGGTGTAGCAGCTCTGTGTCCTGGATCGTACCATGTGGTTTGGTGGTCTTCGTTATGGACAAGTAAGTTTAGTTTTTGTTATTGTAGTGGATAGGTTACATTAACATGGTTGGAAAGTAATAACCTAACCCAGATTTATGGTTTTGCGGGAATGTTAACGTGTATATAAAGCGAGTAGTTCTAGTTGACCGGTAATGATTTAAGTGATAAATTAGCGTTAACTTGTACAGTCATTGTACTATTAAAATTTTGTCAAATAGGTCATAAATGCTTTTAGCATAGTATGGGTAATAAGTATAATTATAAGAATATAGAATATTTGCAAGTGAAGGAGATGCCTAAAAACTTAATGAAATTGTAATTGAATTATAATTAATAGAAAAGTTAGTAAAAAGACGGCTGTTCAGTTTTAACTTGTCCATGTTAGTCCTTGATTAGATTATAGCATGGATATAGGTGTTAACGACTTTGTTAACGCTGCAACTTGGTAAAGGTTGTCTTCCCGAGGATCGACTGTAGATAACGGAGGCGAAATGAACTTGGAGAACGTTATAATCAAATTATCTTTAACGTTAGTAATACACTTAATGGTATTTTTGGAAATTTGATTTTCAACGCTACAAAAACATTCTAATGTTGCTTTAATGTTTTGAGTAATGTGTGAAACGGTTGTCACTTTTCCAACCTATATTTCTAAAGGTATGCTGTTGCTTGCTTTTGGGGAAAATGAATATCTTAACAGGCGCGTGGAGAACCCTAGTTTAAAGTATATAGCGAAAGTTGATATTTATGGGGCATAGTTCATTACAATGAATTTAATTTGTCGTAGACTTGGAGAGGCTTTGTAAAATGTCATTTAATGATGGTTTAAGTTTTAGAAAATACTTTGAAAAGGTCTAAATGAACTAATTTGAACAGAGTTTAGTTTAAATACTTTTAGTTGTATGTTCTAATTATTCGTTTATTTTTAATGTATGAACAAGTTAATGTTAACACGAATAAGTGTAAAGATGATGAATCTAAATCCATGAGTATAGATTAGCCTTCAGCCCTTAAGTTAGTTTTTTGTGCTAGTGGGCTCTAATAGTTTTGTTAAAGATTGGAAAATTCACTAGCACGAGGTTAAACGTGTGAACTGTAAATAGAATGTTTAAAATAATTTAAGGGACTTTCATATAGTGCTTAGGCCTTGGGTCATAAATCGTGAGTACAAAGATTTATTAAACTTGTAAATGTAGTAGATAGTAAAGTTACAAACTAAAAATAGTGGAGTGGCTTTGTGTAAATATAAATTACAGTAGATGGGTCGGAATATTATCTTTGAAGTAAAGATACGTTTGACTGCTATAAGTTACGCGGTATAGCATTTGCCTAAACTTTCAATAAATTCCAGTTTTGAGTATAAGCGTAGGCGGACCTTTATTAATGTAGGTAACGTGTAATGGTAAAGTTTAGGTATAATGTATAAATACTTGGTAGGAAATTGGTAAAGCTTTTTAATTTTTGAGTGGGGAAGTTGAGACTCGTACCTTTGAAATCTTTAAATTTGTAAATTTGACGAGTGCAGGGCATGTCGAAACTTGGTTGTATAAAAAGCATGATTAGGCTTTTCCTGCAATTAGAACAGGTATGTGAATGGTCATGTACATTTTAGATTGAATGTTAAATATCTTCAGCTAGTTATCTGAATCATAAATCTTGGATCCCTTTCACAATTTCCACACTATAAAGGTCGTATTTTTAAATTACCTAGCCTCTACCTTAAATTTGTCAGCATCGGCAACTGCATCTGTCAATCTTTTGAGCATTTCCAAACCCTATTTAGATCACCTTGAATGGTGAGTTTCCGTGTTTTTCCATAGATTTGTGTAGGCAAATGTGCAAATGATGCTGGTAAAACGTGAATAAAAATTTATAAATTATGAATAAGAGGTCCCAGGACTGCGTTGAGGCACTAGTTGGAGCCTTTTCCCATAGTTAACCCCTTTTATACAAACTGTTCTTTGGTGTAGCCATGCCTTTACCCAATTTGAAATGGCAAAAATACCAGGAAAAAAAAAATTGGGAACACTTAACTTAAATTTTTTATGTAATAACAAAAATTTTATTTTAATATATGCTATTGAGATAGCATTCAGATATGATTTCAGTTTACACTCCTGTTAATCGGTTTTTGACCATTTTTGGAAATTTTGACGCCTTCAATATTGTCTCGCTTATTTATGATACGATGCCGAGACTTGGCCAGATGGAACACTTCATGTACAACTCGTCAAAAGTTTGAAATCGAACTGGTTTTCATTTATTGAAATTTTTGGCAAATCGGGAGGTAATGGCACCCTTAATTAATATAAGTATTTGTTTTAGTTTAAATGTAGGGAAATGGTTATTTGGTCGGTTGACATTCCCTATTTTAGACATTTCCATTTCCCAAATGTGGCTATTCCCCCCTTCCTCGTGTAGTGCAAGTTTAAATCAGTTTCGTATTAAAATCTTTTTACAATCGGGCACGTTTCGGTAGGTTCAATATATTTGTGTAGGAAAGATGATTTAAAGTTTAAATAGTTTCTTGTACGTACTCCTGTTTGTGTAATATTTTGTAATTTATTTTGATGGCAAACTGTTTCCCTGATTTTGGCATAATATCTTCCATAAATGCGTACTTATAATATTCTTGTTCCAGATAAATTGATACCACTACCTAATAAGTTTAAAGCCAAAGAAACCTCTCCCACCACAGGGGAGGGGTGTTTCCTGTTTACTGGAGCATGAAAAGGTTAGAAAGTTTCTAAATTATAACCAGTAGATAATCAAATTTCTTTGTTTGCAGTTTGTGTCCGTGGATGCATTTAGACCTTTATTTTTAGAAATGTTAAAGATGAGATGGGGTGGGGGCAGGGTGGGACTTAGATCGACTGAACTGTAGTTGTGGGATATGTAAAGTTAACAAGGGGGCTTTGGTTTGCAAGAGTTAACCCGTTGCCATTTTGATCAGTTAAGTCTTGGATGAAGGTATTTAAGAACTGGGATACTTGTTTCTTAACGTTACTGAAGATATAATGATGTTGCTTGAATTTTAGTGGCAAAGATGTAATTTTTCTGGGTACGAGTGTTGGATATTTTTTTTGGTTAGTTTACCAGATGTTAAAGTAAATGACTGTGTGGTTTAGGTATGATAGCGTGACATTTCAGTAACGCAATATGGGGTTACTATAGTTTGACAACTGACCATTATCATGGCTTAAAAGTAGATGTCGGAAAATCCGACACCATTTAATAATCATACAGATAATAGCTGTATTGTATAAACAAGTTACCCATAGAAAACGTAACTTGTAGTGAAATTACCGTCTAAAGAAAACGGGATATCACCACATACTATTATAAACTCACCAGCTATTCTGCTGGGAATTATTCTAAAATACATTAGTCTTTGGACTTTACCATCATAAAAACATCTTATATAAATTAACTTAATTATCAATATTAAAGTAGAGTAAATGTGACCCTTCTATCACTTGTCATGTGGACAATGTAAGCCAGGCAGGAGTGGGGAAGGAGGGCAGCCATTGTTGATACTGAGACCAGAGGCTCACACGGGAGCAAATTCGGCTCCTGTTAATTTTACTTGGACGTGGTGTTATGGAAACCAAAAGTGTACCATTTTCAACACGCTGTCAACAAATTCAAGTTAAGATTTCTTTCCGAAACCCGTTTATTTTCATTTATGGCCATTAATGTCATTATATAGGGTGATCCTGTTAGAGCATGACATAGCCTCAAACTAAAGGTAATTAAGCCAGGTCTTTATTGTTCCATGTATAGTGTTTTCTCTGATATACTTGTCATATATAGGATTCTGGCTTTACAGCTAGCGCCCTTTTAACAGGTCAAGACGAGGAAGGCTTTGTGCATCAGTTACTGGGTGATGGAAGCTACCTCAAAGAGGATAATTTGGTGTCTACACCCTAGTTATACCTGGTGGACTAACCTGCTGTACTATAAGATAAGGAACCTTTTCAATGTATGTAGTTAATACTGTAGTTTGATTGGCTGCATATAAATTCATTTAATAAACCCCCCTAATGTGTAGAGGATCGATTTGTGAGGTTGAGATTATTGCAGAAATAGTCCCCTTATTATACAAATTGCTATCGAAGTATATAAATTAACGTAAATATAAATTCATATAAATTAAATAAATATAAATCTCACAGGTCGGTTCCCACAGATTCTAATGGCACTAGACGAACAAAATACTGGTTAGATGGGGTAATTTGACCCAAAGTGTTCAGTTTGGCGAGTGGTAAATGGAAATAACGTTAAAAAAAAATTGAAACTGCAGTTGCAAAGTGGAATACTAAAAATTTGGCCATAGGTACAGAAATAATTAATCTGAAATGTATAAAGTGACATACTGTGGCAAGACTACTTAATTTTAGGTAAGATGGGCAGTTTCCGGTTGAAACCTGCAATGTAGTCGTGGTGATGATGCCTTGTGGTTGGTGCATGACCGTTCACGAGGCTTTGCTAGTCTACTCCTTCTACACAAGGAAGGTGATCGTCCACGCTTTCTCTGCAAATTGGGTAAGACTTGCATGTACATACACGGGTTGCCTATAGAGGTGGTATAGTTCCTTCTAGAGGAACTAGGAATCTAGATTTACTGAAGAACGAAGTTTAAAAAATGTAAAGTGAATTAAATTGCAAGGGAAAGTAGGTATACCAGAATGGGGATCGACTTTAAAGGTTCATGATTGCTGCGTAATGTCTGGCAAGTGTTTTATTAATAGTAACATAGAATCGTTTTACTGTTAAGAATTCGATGTAGATGGTAAAGAAAGTTCAGAAATCTGTAACCAGGAATGCTAGTGTTATAGTGAAGTTTGCCTGCATAGTTGACCTGATCGGTACAACGTGATTTGAAAGGCAGAGTTAAGGGAGTAAAGTAAAATAGGGTAAACTTTTAAATAGTCCACTTGATGTATTGTAGGTTAATGGTTTAATACTGAATAGTTCAGAGGGCTGGTAGACGACCGGGCCGCGGGGACGCTAAGCCCCAGAAGCACCTCAACGTGAATGAGTAAAGGAAGGAGGTTAGTGTTGAGGTATACTGTAAATTTTTAATAGTTGGTGGATGGCTTGTACTGTGTACAAAGTTTAGCTTTGTACATAAAATGTTTGTTGGGGGGGGGGGGGGTTCCTTAAATGTATTTTACGTAACGTTTAAAGTTGTAGATAAGACTAGACTATTGTCGTAGGGCAGTGTTTGTTAACATGAGTAAGAATGACTGAAAAGATAGAATAAAATTTAGAAATGGCTTAAGGAATAACTTTGCTTTAGTAAAGATCCAATAAAAGGTTTAGAAATATAAAATATTTAGGTTTAAGTAGGTTGAAAAGGGAGTCGTGAATGTACTGATAAGTGGAAATAATATGAAATAATGATCTTGAATAAGTGTTTATTAATTCCTAAAATGGGAAATGAAAACTAATGGTACACTAGTATTTAGTAGTGTAGTTGAACTGATGGAAATTACGTAATTTCAGGTAGTTCCAGAGGAGGGTTGGTGTGACTCTTGCGTCGGGAGAATTGTAAAGTAGATCCTGAATTTCCTGAGGACTAAGACCATGTATAAACCTGCATGTTCGTTGACGATTTCTTTATATAGACACCGGTAAATCGGCAACTAACTAGTTCGTCTCCAGACTGACGGATTGTGGTAAATGTACTTTACTAAGAGGTGAGGCTCTTCATTTTATGGAATTAGCATTTACTTTGACTGCCACACCTTGCAAGTTGCAGGGGGACACTTTTATCTTTAATGTTGAAGTGTTATTGGTACAATACAGAAAACGTGTAATAGGTTATGGTGTCTAGATTAAGGCATGGTTTTATGAATGTGACGAAAATTGCAATAAAGGGAAATTGAATATTCAATGTGCTAATTTTACTGAGATGTACAGGTACGTGCCAAAATTTAGTATGGAAATTGGAAAGGGCACGAGTAGTACCTGTAGTTTGGATATTCAGATTTGAGATTTGGTACAAAGAGCAAAAGTTAGAATGCTACGAAAGGCTCTTAATAGAATTGAAAGTTAGCATTTACCTAGTTCATATTGAAAATGTTGTTCAGCTATAAAAGTTTTGCTTGAATGAAAATATAGAAATCGAAATGTTATACGTTGACAATACATGAATTTAATTTAAATGTAGAGAAGGTGCAATGGAATTAGTGAAAAGATTTACAAATGTGAATTATAAATGTTGGGTAAAGTTTGATAGAATTTATTCAGATTAGTACATTATAGGAATGTACTGGAAATGAAAATAATAGTACATAAGTTAATCCTAGTTAGGAAATGCATATAAAATAGTTTATCCCATGTTATTACAAACTATACCATAATCTAGTCTTTAGGTATGTAATACTGTGAACGTTTAGAAAAGTGAATGTAATGAAAAAGTAGTAGTTTGAATTTCATCAATCTATTACTATTAAGGGCTTTAGTGTGTATAAAGAAAAAAGGCATCCTAGTTGGGAAAAGTAGTTTATTAACAGGCGGTTTACGTTATGAAAACTAGTAAAAAAGTGTTAGTGAAAGGTTGTTAGCTGGTGCTGAGATTCCATTATTATTACAGCAATAATGGAAGGATTAGTGAAGGAACTAGTGAATCTAGTTAAAGGCGAGGACAGAGCTGGATTCGCTACGGGAGGTGGTACGACAGCTGAAACGTCTTCAGAAAGAAGCAAAGGAGGCGACCATTATTAAAAACCTCGTCTTGGCAAGTTGTAAAGAATGGATGTTAAGACCTTGGCAAAACACACCTAATAGCCCAAGGACTTCAAAACACATTTGATGTGTTAGAGGACGAGTGCTGTGGTGAACCTGTAGTTCAAAGAGGCGAAGGCAAAGCAACGAAGAGCATTGAAGCGCAGGTCCCTCAAAGTGCCCTAAAGTGAGGAACGACTGAGGGATTCCCAGGTTAGGTATTTAAACAATGTTTTGTGCTAGAGATAAGGGGAACAGGTTAAGGGTTTGCTATCCAGGAGGTGGTATTTGTGATATTGTTGGAAACATGAGATTATGATGGGAAATGGGAACAAACCCATTATTTGTATTAGCGCAGGGGGTAATGATGTTGGGCGAGTTAGGAGTGAGGAACTAATAGATTAAAGACAGGAATAGAATTGGTTAGGAGCAAGGGAGGACTCCCGATCATATATAGATCCCTTCCAAGAAAGGGAGTGGGGAATGGATGTCGAGGGCACTTTGTGTCAATTGCAGGCTGGAAAGATTGCAAATCAAATGAAATATCTCGGACAACTGGGAACACTTGTATGGAAGAAATGAGATGTATGCTCGGTATGGGGTGCATCTATCGAGTGCTGGGGTTGTTGCCAACTCGTTTGAACCAGTGGTTAGGTTTTTGAGATTAGTGTTAGTAGATAGTGGTATGGGAATTGATTTGGAGAAATTGGCAAAATGATCAGGGAAATTGAAGGGCCTCAATAATAAATGACTTGGGGTATATTACATTAACCGAAGTCTAATAAATAAAATAAAATAATTAAATGCTGTTGTCTAGAGCTCTTGGCTGGAAGTTTTAGTTTATGATGGTTCAAGTTGGGAAAGGTATGTAGGTAGTGAAGCAAAAATCTCTAGCAAGATATAAAAATTTTGGTTATCCAAATCTAAAATGTTACGTTAAGTTTGAGTGATAATTATAGAAATAGGTAAGATTAGTAAAATGTAGTAAGTTGCTTGAAATGAGTGAAATATTGTGAAATATACCAATATCAAATGTTATGGTCTAGTTTTAGTAATGTAATAATGTAGACTAAAAGTTGTTGGATGTGTGTGTGAATGTTTAGAAGTGTTCGTGGTCATGTGATAGGAAACGTGTGAAAATATTGCTAGATGTCGTTTTTAAATCTGTTATTACTATAAAGGGCTTAAGTGCACGTATAAAGAAAAATGGCAGGCGAAGTTAATGAGAAAGTAGTTGGTTAATAGATTGTTGACGTTATGAAAAGTGTAGTAAAAAAATGTTAGGTGTAAATGTGTAGACGGGAGTACAGTTGGTTTTGAACAGTAAGTGGGAAAAAGTTTGTCTTAATTTTGTAGTATTTGACTAAACTGTTAATAATAATTGTTAAATAGTATATGAAAAACCTTCAAGCATGTTTGAAGCAAGTTAATAATACGTAATTTATATAGCAAATGAATAATTTAAATATAATTGCAGGAATGGTTAGTGTTCAAGATTGATCGTATTTGAAGGCGTTACTGGAATTATTCTTCACTTGATGGAAATCAATAAATAACACTTCAGAGAAATGAGAGCTAGAAAGTGGAATAAGTAAAATTTTGTATCGGTGCATAACATTCTGCTGTTTAGATAACGTAAGTGTGCAGCATAGTTTGTCATTATAGTATGACATAATAATGGGAGCATAGTATTGACATTAGCTGCAGTTTTCCCTCGCCAGACACTAAAGTAACATAATCATAAGATTAATATAGGATGTATGTACTATTTTGGTTCAGAGATTGTATTAATTCCGCAGGATGTGCAGAATACCCCCGTTGAAAAGTAGAGGTGCAACAGGTACTCTGAGAGAACTCTATCAACATCAGAGGGCCAAGACTGTTCAACACGCTTTCACTACACATAAGGGGCATAACTGGCAATTCCCTCAGTGTTAAAGAGAACTGGATAAGCACCTCCAAAGGATACCTGATCAACCAGGCTGTGAGCAGCCGCGTCCAACAGTCTGGAGAACCAGGAGGCCTGGTTGACGACCGGGCCGCAAGGACGCTAAGGCCCAGAAGCACTAAGTTAACCTCAAGGTAAGGCAAGCTTATAAATGTTAGATTGGTTTGTAAGTAGAAAATGGCTATTGGGTTTATGATAGTGGGAATAGTTAGGAATTGTAGTACATTTGGACATGTATTAAGGTATGAGTAAATTGTTGCATCAGTATAAAAAATAAAACTTGTGTGAATTTGGTAAAGATAGAAAAAAAGGACTACAATAGTTTGTGAAAGATGGGTATGAGAAAATTTATGGTGTTATTGTGAAAGTTTTTTTATAGACGTTGCAAATATCAGAATAATATGGAAATGCAAGGGGAAAAATTGACCTGAAAAGCATAACAATAAAGATAGGCATAAATAGCAAAAATATAATAAGTGTAGTAGCGATGTTAGTGTTTAGTACATTTATAAATATTACAATAGGAACAACATAGATGTACAAGAGATATATTATGGGGAAAGTTGTAAATCTTGAGGTTGTCTTGAAGATTTATAGGTTTTTAGTGTCCCTGTGGGCTGGTCCTCGACCAGCCTTCTACCCCCAGAAAGCAGCCCGTGACAGCTGACTAACGGGCAGGTACCTATTTTACTGCTAGGTAAGAGGAGCATAGGGTGAAAAACTCTGCCCATTGTTTCTCGCCGGCGCCTGGGATCGAACCCAGGATCACAAGCCAGCGTGCTGTCCGCTTGGCCGACTGGCTCCCCATGGGCATGGCATAATTGAATGTTAAAAGTGGATATGGTAGGCATTGAGGGGATGTGATTAGTCCCAAAGTTTAATTGTGGTTATATTAGGTGGTGTAAAATGTGAATAGAATTTTCTGACAGTTACATTGAAAAATTGAGTTGGTATTAAAATGTTGGTGGAATTGTGTAAAGTTGGTTAACAATATGATAAACAATAGTAATAGTTAAAGGTTTTAGTGTCAAGTTTTGAAAGTGTAGAAAGGTAGTCACTCAGTAAAAATGTGATACCTTAGTGTTAAGATCTCGGGACATTAAAGATCGGAAGTTTTTTAATGGAATTTTTGTTTATGGACAGTGTTGCTTTTCATAGCCATGTGAGGTAGTTTAGAGAAATGAGCTTAATGCACGTTATTGTTGCAGAAAGTGGAAGTTAGGTGTAAATGTAAGACTGACTCAAAATATAAAATACGATGGTAATAGGGTGAAGTTTATTTCGGAGATAATCTGTACGCATCTTCCTAATACTTGAAGAAAGGGTGTGGGGATGTAATGTATTGGATGATGGGAATTGATATATAATAGTACTTTGTTAGGTGTATCTATTTGGTCATTGAAGTAAAAGTGACATTACAGTATCGTGGTAACGTGAGTGAAGTTGATGAGGATTGAAAACTTTGCTGATATTGCAGCTGTAGCACAGACATAAATGTGTTTTTGTAAGAGTGGATCTGTGAGGAGCATAGGTTCCTGTTTGAACCTGTATTAAATATATTTAAAATGTGTAACTTTATTTTAGGTCATAAGATTGGCTGGAGCAGTTTGCTGGCAAAAACGGCACTGAAGTAATGGCTAGTGGTTGTAACTTAATGTGACCATTCACCAGCGTTTAACTACAGGGATCATGTGTACACAAAGGTAGTCGTCGACGAAAGTTGTTGGCAAGTGAGGTGAGACATGCTTGTATATACATGAGTTGCCTAGAGGCGATAATGTAGAGGAAGTTGTCATAATGTACACAGAATAGGGTAGGAACGTGTAAATTCCCTTTAATTGCAAGGGAAAGTAGGTGTATCAAAAAGGGGCCGACTGTTAAAAGGGTAAATGATTGCGGCATAATGTGTAGGAAATGTTTTGATAAATTGAACTTGGCCTTCTAAACTGTGAAACGATTGTATGTAGAGAAATTTGTAAGGAGTAGTGTTTCGGTGAATAGTTTGCGTACATATTAGAACTGCTAAAGAAAATCTAATTTGAAAGGTAGTTAAAGCAGTTGAGTAAAAATTGGTATACATATAGAATCCACTTGATGTATTTTAGGGAAATAAGTAGTAGAGTAATTTAAATAAAGGAACGAATGTAGTGTTGATGTAAATATTGGAAAGTACTTGGTGGAAGGTTTAAAAATAGTGTAGTAATAGTTCAGTAGTGAACATTACTTGCAAGTGGTAATTTGGGGGGGGGGGGGAAGAGGGGTGGTTTGTCAGAGATAAGGTTTTACATATTTAAAATTGTGCGCAATACTTGACTGGTTAATAAAATTAAATTTAGATATAGTTTAAGAATGAGTTGGATAAGGAGTGAAGATGTAGAAAGATTTGATATAAAAGAATATTTGGCTTAAGTAGATGGGGAAAGGGGTGGGGAGCTGTGAATGTATGGAGAAAGGGGAATAGTATGATAAATAAAATCTTGAATAGGTTAAATTTCCTTAAATAGGAAATGAAATTTAATGGTACACTAGTATTTACTACTGTAGGTTATGTGAAGTAATAAAGTACGTGAATTCAAGTGGTTCCAGAGGTGGTTTGTGTGACTCGTGCGCCGGAACCAATAAGAACTAGAGGGTTAATTTCCTCTCGGACTAAGACCATGTATAAACATGGATGTCGGTTGTCATCTCTGTGCATTGACAGCAGCTAAGCGGCAAATTAGTATTCGCACCCAGACAGATGGATTGCTAAATGTACCTTAGTAAGAGGTGAGGCTTTTTGAGGAAATAGCACTCTTTTAGTGCAATAAATTTGGGGGTGGGACACGTTAAGTTTGAGGGGGACAGGGTTATTGTTAACGTAAGTCTTATGGGTAGAATGCAGAAAACGTGTAATAGGGTCTGCTAATTGTCTTAAAATAAGTTATTGTTTTATAAATGGTAACGTTGCTAATGTAAATGAAATAATAAATGAAAATAATTTTACAGAAGGTTGTGTAGATAGTTTTCAAATGTTGAATTTGAAAAGGGTAAGAGAATAGTACTTGTACTGTGGTTATTACAAATGCAAAGATTGAAAACGGTATGAAGAGTTTAAGTTAGAATCGTCCTAAAAGCTCTTAAACTTAGGTTAGTGTTCACATTTGCAATGTAAAGTAGTTTGGGGTGTACGTTTTGCTAGGATGAAAATATGAAGACATTATAAATTTGTGCCAATACATGGATAAAATTTCCATGTAGAAGCTGCAATTGATAAAATTAGATTTAATGTTGTCACAAACCTAACATTTTTTATTAAGATAACAGTAAACGCAAATAAGTGATGCATGAAATGAAAAAATCCACAAGTGCTGTGACGAGGAATCGAACCTGTCCGGGAGCATCCCAGACACTGCCTTAATTGACTGAGCTAGAACAGGGTCGAGAGTTGAAACGGAAGTACTATTGAAGTTACTTGAACCTGGAGCGTCTCAGAGGCACAAAGCAGGGTTTTACAAAACTCCCCCCTTGCACTCAAGATATGTCAATAGGGTTTAAGTTAGTGATGGTATAGAATTTAAGAATGGACTAAAAATGCAAATATAGTAATGATTAACTTTGTATATTTTTGTCCTAACATTACAAATAAGTTTTGTTTTTTGGGGCCAAGTTAACATAAAGGAATGCATTGCAATGGTGACGTGTAGTTGATAAATAGGTAAGAGTATAATGAGTTTGTAAAATATATATATGGTAGTGTGAAATTGAATAATCTACAAAGTCGTTAAAATTTTAATACTGGATGTTTAGAAGCGTTTGTGGTAATAAATAAAATGTGCAATTTAATTAAGAGTAATGACATTTTGGAAATGCATATAAGGGCATAAGTGTGGTTAGTGAAATGGGAGGCTAGAGTTAACATAAGAAAGTACTTTGAGGTTAATTAACGGTTCAAGTTACTAAATTTAGGACTAAAAATTGAGTTACTTGTAAGTACACATTTACATATGTAATTGGTTTTAGATTTAAGTTAAAATGGTGTTTTTGAAGTGTGTTAATTTTGTATGAATTAAGTAAACTGTTAATGGTTAAATATTTGTAAAATGTGTAAACGTAGTTAGAAGGAAGTTAATACTGCATTATTAATGTAGAAATTTAAATTTCAGAAATCGTGAGCGTCCAAGAGTGATGGTATTTGAAGATGTCATTGGAAGTAAACTCTTCACTTGGTGTAAATAAGTGCACAAGGAATGTGAGAAATTGCCAGAATGTGGAATAAGTAATAGTAAAATAAGAAATGTTGTGGTTGTATTATTGAATAACTCATTCTGCTGTTCAGATCTCTTATGTGTGCAGCATAGTAAGACATTGTAAGGAAGTAGGTAGGAGTTTGTAGTATAGACTTAAGTGTCTGGGTGAGATGTATGATTATGTTACTTTAGCACCCATGTACTATTAGTGTTCAGAGATTGTGTATTAAGCGTAGAAAGGTTAGTTTAGGTTTTAAGTAGAAGATGGCTATTTTGTTTAAGATGGTGAATATTAGGGATTTGTAGTATATTTGGATATGTATTGAAATGACAAAGACTGGAGTGTTGCATTAGGATAAAAAATAAAATGATTAAAGATAGAAGAAAATGGAATACAGTCTAAAGTTTGGTAGGAGGAAAGTGAAAGTTGCAGTGTTTAGTTTTGAAATTTATTCATAGATGTTGTAAATAGCACTTTTATATGAAAATAGAAGGGAAAAAGCATAGGTAAGATTGGCATAAATAGTAAAAATATAACATGAAAGTCTAGTAGAGAGGTTAGCGTTTGGTACATTTGTAAATGTATTAAAATGCCAAAAAAATAAGTTGTGTGCATAAGATATTAGTTAGTTGTATGTTGGCGTAAATATGTTAAAAATGTTAATTGTGTGTAATAGGCTGCAGGTCTAATTTTGGGTACAAGAGGTATTGTGTAAAGTGTTATTAGAATTGCATTGAAAAATGTAATAAATGTTGGCTGGAATTGTGTAAAGTTCGTTAACTATGATAAAAAATAGTGAGATTGTTAAAGGGTTTCTAGTGTTAGAGTAAAGAAAATAATTGGCACTGAAAGAATGTAGTCGGTTATTGGAAATGTCATACGTTAGTGCTGTAAACATTTCATAACGTTAGATCAGAAATGAATTTTCAATTGTAATTCTTCATGGCGATGCGAGGTAGTTTAGATAAATAAGCTTAAGTTATTGTTGCAGAAAGTTGAAGTTAGGTTTAAATGTAAGAAATAGAATGTATAAAATTTACAATGGTAAGAGTGAAAAGTTTTTCAAGTAATGTGTACCTATTTTTAATATTTAAATAAAGGAGGGTGTGGGATAAAATATATTGGAGGATGAATTGTAACAATGTCAGGGTAAGAAGGATGGAGCTGATGAGGGTTTAAAGCTTGGGTGATATTGCAGCTGTAAGACATTGACATAAGTGTTTTAGTAAGTTGATCTATGAGAGCATAGGTTCCTCTTTGAACGTGTATTAAATGTAAAAGTTTATTTTAGGTCAGATTGGCTGGAGGAATTTGCTGCCAGAACGTGGTAAAGCGACTGTTCAGGAGTGTTTGACTACAGTACATATTTACACAAGGTAGTCATCCAAGAGTTGTTGGGAAATCAGGTGAGAGATGCTTGTATATAAATGTGTTGGCTAGAGGCGATAGTGTAGAAGAGTGGAATTTAGTTGCTGGATGGGTTGAAGGTAGTGACTGGTACAATTGATTATTGATGTAATTGTATGTAGTATTAGTTGAAATAAAATAGTTTTATGTAACATGTAGGTAAAAATTGACTGTTGTATGGTAGTTAACATTAACCTTTTCAATGTATAAATTATTGCAGTAAGTAAACGGAGGTGTTTTGGCATGGTTTTAGGATATGCAGTTTCGTTATTTCAGGTCATAAACATTGTTTCAGATGTAAAAGAATATAAATGTTTAGATAGTTTATAGGAAATACATAAGCGAAATGGAGTAACATATTTATTGGTGTATAAATTGAAATGTGTAGTCAACAGTTGAGTAATTTTGAATATTTCTTTGAACTCAAATGACGTAATTGCAGGTTATACGAGAGGGTGTTGGCGAGTCTTCATATGGTAGAAGTGTTGAAAGTAAAGGACCACTACCCATGGGTTGTGTATACTGAAATAGTAAAAGCGGGAATTGACTATTTCACCCCTGACTAATGTAAGTGAATGTGAAAAATCTCCGTTTTAGTATGAGGTAAGGGTTTTGATATTGTCAAAGATTGATTATATATAGTTATTGGGGGATGAATGAAATAGACAAATTGTTGTTAGGTGCATTAGAATAAACATGTGTGAAAATCCAGTTTCAGCTTAATGTGACATTTTCCATTGTGCAAGTGTCTCTTGTTGCAATAGTAATGCAGGGAATAAAATGTGGAAGGAATAAAGTTAGGTTATGTAGATAAGTTGTAGGGGAGGGTGAGGGATGATGAAATAAATGGTACATGTAGTATAATGCTCCTGAAAGGATATAGTTTAATGTTTGTAAATGTTGTTATGCATGTTTTAACAAATTATCAATTTATTTTACGATTCTATTAACAAAGAAAACTTAATACCGAAATGATTAAAACGTAAGAAATTAATACTGTACGTTTATATATACTAAATGAATAATTTAAATTTTATTGCAGGAATGCTTAATGAAGAGATGATGGTATTTGAGGAAGTAAAATCTTCAGTTGGTTTGAAGGAAATAAGGCTTTTGGAAATTATAGGCAGAAGGCTGGAAAATATGAACGTGACAGAACTGTTTAGTGTAATTTGGTTTTAGGCATGTACACTAGAGCTTAATCTTGGATGTAGGATAATGCATGTATGCAAATACAGAAAATTTATAGTTGTAAGTGGGTATAAAAACTGTGGTCCTCAAATTTTATTTAAATAGTACCAAAACAAGAGTGTGGATCAGCGTGAGTAAGTATTCAGTAGTGAATATTGTATTTACTTTTGATATAAGGGAAAAAAAGCAGATGGAATGTGTTAAATGACACATTAAGGTTAATGGGGAAAAATGTTAGTAAAATGTGAACATGGATGTAGTAAATATAGAATTGGAGAGAAATGCAATTGTAAAACAGAAAATGGGCTAAATATAGAAGTTTAAGTTTAGTTAAAAGTATAGCATGCATCAATGGTGTCACAAATCAAATATTATGGGCAGCAACTTGTGGTTGTGTTATACTTGAAATAGTTTTGAAGATGTGTTTTTTCTTGACAAACAAAATGTTATATGAAAAATAAAGTAAGGTGTTTGTATAAAAAATGTTGCTTGTGTTTGAGTTAAGGTGTTCCTCATAAGGTTACAATGTAAGACGTGAATATATTGCAATACGACAAATGTGAGGCTTTAGGAAAATAAATTTATAAAATATAGAAAGGTTGTATGGTAAAACGGTGATCTCCTGGATAGGCTTGACGTTTCTTTATAATATTGGAAGAAAGGATGGTGTAGTTCTTAATATATTAGAGGTTAGACACTAAATGTGTACTTTAGTTAGATGTAGTTAATCATTGAACATAAATAATAAGAGAAAAATGGATGTATGAAAGTATTGTGATTTAATGAGTTGTTTGACATGAATGTGATAAAATAGGAAAATAGCCATAGGTTCAAGTAGTTAAAAATGCATTAGTACTTTACCATTTGAAATAGTATGTAATTTCAGGTTATACAAGAGGGGTTTGGTGAGTGTCTTTGTATGGGAGACTGGTGAAGAACTAGAGGACCAGGAGCCATATTTACGTGCATGTGTTGTGGCGATGTCGGAAATTTGTGCCACCCCCTGAGAAGTAACAGAATTGGTTGAAAATCTCAAAGTTTATGAGGTAATGGTTTTTATATCGTCAGTGAAAATATTTTGGATAAAAAAGTGCTGTATTTTCGAATAAGTATCTTAGTGTAAAAGACCAGTGAAATATAGAACTAAAAATGAAGCCAAAATTGTCTAGAAAGTAGTTGCATTGTACTTTAAAGTACCCAAAGGGATTTTAAGAGGTATTCGAAACGAATGTAATGTAAGTTTGGTATTTAAAAGTTTGAACTCATTTAGAATGTTAATAAATACATGTTTATATACTGAAGTCTAGATTTAATTGCAGGGATGGTCGACTTGTGGTCCTGGCGAGAAACTATGGGTAGTTTGTTGCACTGTATGGGGGGCCTGGTAGAGGACACTAAAAGGCTGAAGTTAATGTCATGATGGACGAATGGTTTCAGTTGAATAGGAAATGAATAAGGCTTAGTGAAAAATGATTGTCATAGTACAGAATGATGTATTAAGTGGGTGCATAAAATGTTTAAGTTAATGAAGATTTAAAGTTGAGTATATATAAATTATGGTTTTCATGTATGTTTAAAATAGTATGAAAGTAGGAAGAATAGTATTAAGTAAAGATAGAAAGTGTAAATACGATAAAGAAATGATAGTTCAGTATGTTACATATAAATGTTTTGACAAATGCATAAATAGTATGTTATGAAATATTTGTAGGTTTATAGTTGAGGGAGTCGCTTACCCATGTAAATTGTGTTGTACACGTAAGACTAATATAGAAAGGTGATAGTGTACAAATGTAATCTCATCGAGATAGGCTCCACCCTTCTATATAATATTGTAGAAAAAGCAGGATATGAGGTTCCTAAAATATTTGAAGAGAAAGTAGTAGATTGAATGGTATTTAGATTACAATGTTTTGTATGTATTAGGTTTGATAGTTAACTGGTGTTTGCAGATGCACTAGTCAGACTGAACCACTATTTATCAAGAAATAGTTGTTGTCCTGAATATTAAGATGTGAACCCATTGGTAGCTGTAAATGTAGTTAACAATGGGTTCACATCCTAATATTCAGGACAAGAATTATTTCTTATTGATAAATAGTGGTTCAGTCTGACTAGTGCATCTGCAGACACCAGTTAACTATCAAACCTAATACATACAAAACATTGTAATCTAAATACCATTCAATCTACTACTTTCTCTTCAAATATTTTAGGAACCTCATATCCTGCTTTTTCTACAATATTATATAGAAGGGTGGAGCCTATCTCGATGAGATTACATTTGTACACTATCACCTTTCTATATTAGTCTTAGGATTTAATTAAACATGTTTCCGGTTGATTTTAATAAATATTTATTATACATTTACTTTTGTTACCCTCTTACATTAAGATAAATACTCAATGTATTTAATATTACTTAGGTAAAGTGTTTACAACTAGGCATTATATTAGTGAAGTGTCTTTGTAATTTCACTGTCAGGCCATGTTGACTGACAAGTGTTACTTCATTACTCAAGATAGGTTTTACTCTAAAAGAGTAAAACCTATCTTGAGTAATGAAGTAACACTTGTCAGTTAACATGGCCTGACAGTGAAATTACACAACTAATATTATGCTTAGTTGTAAACACTTTACTCTACGTTGTTATAATGTAACTAATGCAAATGGTAATATTAGCTATACCACCTACACATTACATTCAGAAGCTATCTACAACAAAATGCTAATACAAAGTATTTTTATGCCTGACACTAACTCATCATTCAAATGCTATCAAACTATTTCTCTTACCATTACTTCCTATCACTTTCATGCTACTATTCTTATTTCATGTTCAATTGTTACCTCAACTCTTATCTTCTACATAAATACAACTATCACAAATTTCAATTGATACACATTCGAACATGTGGGTAGCCCCACACATCAATCTATTCTTTTTTTTCATTACTCTGAACTGAACATATTCTGCTAATTACATACTGTAGTATACATTACGTTACCTTGTAATGTATATTACAATATACATTTCTTTTATATATCTTACAATATATATTTGATATCCTATCTATATTACAAGATATCTTATATATATATATTACATCTTGTAAGATATATTATACATATCTATATTACAAGATATAAATTATATATAACAATATATAAATTACAATATATAAATTATATATATATTATCTATGTTACAAGATATAAATTATATCAAGATATAAATTATATATATATTACATATATATATATAAATTATAGATTGTAATATATATTACAATATATCAATTATATATATATATTCCAATATAACAATTATATATATTATATATTACAAGATATAAAATATATATATATATATATATATATATTTATATCAATATATAAATTATATATAGATATATCAAGATATAATTTATATATATATATATTACAAAATCTAAATTATATATATATATATTACAAGATATATATAAATTATATATATAAACCTAAATTATATATATATTACATGACAAATTATATATATAAAGATATAAATTATATATATATATTACAAAATATAAATTATATATATCAAAATATTTATATGTTACAAGATATATATTATATATATATATATACAAGATATATATTATATATATATATTACAAGATATATATTATAGATATAAATTATATATATATTACAATATATAAATTATATATTATCTATATTACAAGATATAAATTATATATTTTATATATATTATCTATATATTACAAGATATAAATTATATATATATCTTATATATATATATCAAGATATAAATTATATGTATATATTACAATATATCAATTATATATATTATATATTACAAGATATAATATATATATATATTATATATTACAAGATATATGTCTATATTATATATATATAATATATATATATTTTATATCAATATATAAAGTATATATATATATCAAGATATAATTTATATATATATATATATATCAAGATATAATTTATATATATATATATATATATCAAAACCTAAATTATATATATATTACAAGACAAATTATATATATATATTATATATATATTACAAAATATTTATATATTACAAGATATATATTATATATATATATATTACAAGATATATATATATATATATATATATTACAATATATATATATATATATATACAATATATATATATATATATATATTTATTTATTTTACAAGATATATTATATATCAAGATACATATTATATATATATATATATATATATATATATATATATATATATATATATATATATATATATATATATATATATATATATCTATATTACAACATTTTGTATATCTTATGTATATTACACAATATATTACATCTTATGTATATTACGCAATATGTATCTTGTATAGTACGTATTATATATTACAAGATATCTTGTATATTACACATTACAAAATATCTTGTAATATATAAGATACATCGTATACATTTTGCATATTGTATATCTAATGTATATTACTACATTGTATATATCTTATCTATATAACAATCTATATTGTTTAATATACACACTATATTGTCCTTGCTCTGTACTAAACATGTCTTCTAATTACATACTGTAACATACATTACACTATCTATACTTTTTATACAAGTCAATATATATATTTAATATTTCTAATATATACATAGTGAAATATATATATATATATATATATATATATATATATATATATATATATATATATTATTTCACTATCATACCATCTATTTCTGCAACTTGTAATAAACTATTCACTTTAAGCATGTGTACTACAAATCATTCATAAAACTATACGTACATTATTTGTTTACTGAATGACACACTCTCCCCTATAATATTGTCCCTAGGGCTATTATACATTAGTGTTTGTCCTAATTACATTTTCATTTCCCATTCCAAACATATGCTCGCATGTTCACTATAGCATTGTTTCTTGTGAGACTTCTTATCTTCCTTCATCAAACCTCTCTCGTACGATCAATTAACGAACATCAATCTCGCCTCACACGACACAGCCTCCTCTTAAAGCTCTCCTTTGTTTATCCACTACATCATTCTTCGTTCATCTCTGAAATTAAAATAGTGTGTATTTTAGTATTATAGACTGAACATTTCCAGACATTGTTAACGTGTATATTTAAATACTAGCCTATTCCATTTTGCCCAGTTTACACCTTACAATGCCATCTTCACCTACATCTACCATATCTATTCACACAACAACTACATCATAAGCTACCAAACATCCATCCCCTTTCATTTAATGAGCGTCTCATATACAAGTTACCAACAAATATTACCAATACCCATTACAACGATTATTTTTATACTATTTTCTTTTACATTTATTCATATTCTATTCTAATCTTGATTTTCAAACATTAATATACCATTTCCTATGCCACATACCTCTGTTAAACAGCAGTCTCTACTGTTCAAAATATTTCTCTATTGCATGACAACGTCTCCAGTTTCCATCATACAACAACCAATACTCTCGTCATTAGGACACCTCTCTCCCCGTGAACACAATACTCATTCCATACTTGTCTTACTACACTAACTTTATTCTATGTTTCTACATTCTTTCACCATTCCCCTCACCACCCGCCGAAAGCAACTATCAAAACAAGGCACCAAGCCGGGAAGACTATGTAGCACCATCAAATTCTGCCCATTACCAACTCGGTACATTTGATTTCTTACGCTCCACACTTTTTACTCATTTCTCTGGCCCCATCCCCCCAACGTTATACTCATCTCATTTTCAATTTTTCTCATTGCTATTTTGTACAACTTCCTGTTATTCGCTAATATCAACTCTTACAATATTATGACTACAAACTTACTCAATTCTCACGGGTCTAATATCTTTCATCACTATACTTATTATACAACCAACTGATCAACTACTAACAATTTGCTTATTGATTTTCCCTATTTTCAACTCCACCTCACGAACAGATCATGTTTACCTTTACTACATGTCATTATTCATAAACAATCATACATTCTATATTTTCAACACTTAACCACTCACTACTAACCACCCTTCCAACAATATATCCTTTTTTTCTATGCAGCATTCAACAAAACCACACCTTATCTAACCAGTCCTCTCCACTAATAGTTTTCTTTATTTATTATGTAACCCATACCCATCCCGTGCCTGTCAAGAGGTACTGAGGCACATAAATAATCCCCTCTGAACCCCTTACTTCATTTACAAACTGATTCATTTTAACCTACTTACACATTTGTTAATGTTATATATCCACATATAAACAGTCTTTGACATTATTCAATAAACATATCGATATTATTATTACATGAATTGATTCAACACGAGGCTCATCACTCACTATACATCTAGCGTCACTAACAGTTAATAGTCTTACCTAACATCCACCAAACTAGGGGCCACCTTCACAGTCAGGTGACTCCTTCACCTACAGTAACCAACATTCTAATACTTCACTAACATTCCTCAAAGTTCATCATTATGCACAATTTTCTTTGACTACATTGATAATGTTCTCCGAATTCCCCTATTTTTTTACATTCTTATATTACATTTTTTTTTTTTTTACATATATATTGTAGCCAAGACTGCAAGTACCCACACGTACTTGTAGCCGAGCCTATGCCTATTGTCTCAGTTTTTCTATTTTTCCTTTTCAACGTCACAAATGCTTTCACATTTTTTTACTTTTATTCGTCTTGATACTTTTTCTAAGCATCCTTTTTGCCTACACTGCATGTTTGATTTTCGTTCCTACTGGGAAATCAACGACGGCTTCCATTACCAACTATGGATTTCTCATCACATTTCCTTTCATACATTACTCTAATTTCATTTGACCTCCACCTTCGATTATACAATGCTCAAACTCATTTCCTAGTCGACAACCCATATACATGCATGGGCTAACACCATTTCTCTTCACACACCTCATCAACTCTTCTGTGATTCAGACGTCAGACTCCGAGTAGCAACTTCACACTGCTGGAACACTCAAAAACCACGCACGAAGCCCCCTCCGAAACATTCGTTCAGCCAATCCTCAACATGATGCACTTTATCAACACTCGACTTTCCGCTGTCGTCTGGCGGTGTGGGTCTGAAACAACAAACATACATCATCAGTACACTCACATATTACATATAATCAATAATACAACATTCAAAATATAACTCAAATAACAATTATACATCAGTACATTTCATACCATTCCTCCGCACCTGTATATCTCCGATGTTTGTACATATCCCGGTACTTTTGGTCCCGCCAGTACAGTCTGCTTCCTTCTCGACGCATCTGGACGATCCTGTGGACGATCCTGGCCGCCATCAGTCATTCGACCTTAGGACAGTGGCGGTGAGGGGGGAGGGGGGTGAACGAAATTCAATATAAGCAACATGTTTACGAACACACTCTGCCTTCCTAGTCCCCGACTGTTTATTATATATATTTTTGTTAACATTTACTCTGCAAAGGTCCCCATTTACACTAATTAACCCTGTTGTACACACATCTAGTGACATACTTATCTATTCCATACATTTCTCATGTGATGCATACTCCTATTCTAATAATATATTGCAGCAAACAATTCACTTCTTTCATTGCAACTGCTTAACCATCTATAACAGTAAAACTATATTATACAAAGACAATACATTTAACAGTGAAAATTCGTTTGTTACCTCACCTGACTGCCTAGGGAGGCTCACCCCTCCCCCAAGACATTACACTCGTGTAGAAAACGGTCGCGCCACCAGCCTCCTGTCTCAAGCCATCAAACTAGGACATTAATGAAATGTATTACAAAATTAGTACGATTTGTCAATCGGGGTTCAGTTCTTATGTTAAAATTAACGTCAATTCACATTAATGAATAAGTCTTGTATGTTAGTTAAGAACCATTTAACTTCAGTAACATCTGAAATAGCCAAAACATATTTTGTCACTGATAAATACATATCTACCCTCTTGTTTCCTAAATCGGGTAAATTAGTGAAATACAAGTGCCACTCAATATTGTAATTAGCCTGGTTTGAGTATCTACATAATTCTCATTTATTTTGGATTTACAATTCACCTTTAGTGACAAAAACTGATTTTTAGTTATTAATATTTTTCAACGATTAATCTGGCAACTAGCTACATCAGCCGCTGAGAGGTCAGAGTGCAGAGAGTGTGTCTGGGATAAGACTGGGATACAGGACAACCATCCATAATTCCTCAGGGGAATGGACAAGGAGAGGTTTTCTTCAGGTTATCTTGACATGATTTCACGGCTTAGCGTCTCTGCTGCCCGGTCCTCGACCACCCCTCCTTTCTTGTTACACACACCCCAGGAAGCAGCCCACAGCACCTGTCTAACTCCGAGTTATCTATTTACTGCTAGGTAACAGGGGCATCTGTGTCAAAGAAACATTTGGCTCGTTTGTCTCCGCCTCCACCGGAGATCGAACCCGGAACCTCACGACTACGAATCTCGAGCGCTATCCACCCAGCTGTCAGGCGCCCCCCTGTTCTCAGAGGGGGTTGTGAGAGTCCTGTGTAAACCTTTTTCATTCATAAACAGGAATTTTGACAATGCATGCAATGGACTTTTGCCTCTATTAAGCGGACGGGCTGCACCACAACGTCAGCACTCCTCAATTTAAACCCAACCAAACCCACCCTAGCCATTCTAACTTAAATAAATCAACACTTCATATTGTCGTTTTTATTTGCTAGCCATGAGTGTTATGCTCACCATGACCTCATTGATATCACATTCTTAGTTCCCCTCAAACTCTACGATCTACTACAATGAATAATGTTTCTCGTCACATGCACATACTCTCCTTCACGTCTCCTGTGTCAGCCTCACCATAGCCCAAGGTCCTTTAAATGTTTCTTCAAACTAACTAAATCTAAAACGACAAACAACAACTTGTACATACTTAGTATCTTATGTTTCTCCACGTCACAAACCACATCTCAAACAATATCATACAAACCTCTTCCATAACTCAAATAACATTCACTCAAACAAATCTACCACTTACAGGCTATTCATGCCCGGGTAACATCTTGGCTGGCTTAGTCTTCACCAATCAAAAGTCAATCTACTAAATCTTACATATATTATGAAAATACACTATGTTAAACTATACCCAACAAATATTCCTACCACACTAAAATCCACAAGTTACAAAAACAACAATTACATTGAAAAAACATGTCCCCACATCAAGATAATACAACCATCCAATGCCATCAAGCTCTTATAACATAATAGTAGTGTAAATGGAGACGTACACCGTCTGCTCCCCAAGGACCGTCCGCTCCCCAAGGAGCGGACGGTCTACGTCTCCATTTACACTACTATTATGTTATAACAGCTTGATGGCATTGGATGGTTGTATTATCTTGATGTGGGGACATGTTTTTTCCATGTAATTGTTGTTTTTGTAACTTGTGGATTTTAGTGTGGTAGGAATATTTGTTGGGTATAGTTTAACATACTGTATTTTCATAATATATGTAAGATTTACTAGATTGACTTTTGATTCGTGAAGAATAAGCCACCCAAGATGTTACCCGGGCATGAATAGCCTGTAAGTGGTAGATTTGTTTGAGTGAATGTGATTTGAGTTATGGAAGAGGTTTCTATGATATTGTTTGAGATGTGGTTTGTGACGTGGAGAAACATAGAAACTAAAATCCACAAGTTACAAAAACAACAATTACATTGAAAAAACATGTCCCCACATCAAGATAATACAACCATCCAATGCCATCAAGCTCTTATAACATAATAGTAGTGTAAATGGAGACGTACACCGTCTGCTCCCCAAGGACCGTCCGCTCCCCAAGGAGCGGACGGTCTACGTCTCCATTTACACTACTATTATGTTATAACAGCTTGATGGCATTGGATGGTTGTATTATCTTGATGTGGGGACATGTTTTTTCCATGTAATTGTTGTTTTTGTAACTTGTGGATTTTAGTGTGGTAGGAATATTTGTTGGGTATAGTTTAACATACTGTATTTTCATAATATATGTAAGATTTACTAGATTGACTTTTGATTCGTGAAGAATAAGCCACCCAAGATGTTACCCGGGCATGAATAGCCTGTAAGTGGTAGATTTGTTTGAGTGAATGTGATTTGAGTTATGGAAGAGGTTTCTATGATATTGTTTGAGATGTGGTTTGTGACGTGGAGAAACATAGAAACTAAAATCCACAAGTTACAAAAACAACAATTACATTGAAAAAACATGTCCCCACATCAAGATAATACAACCATCCAATGCCATCAAGCTCTTATAACATAATAGTAGTGTAAATGGAGACGTAGACCGTCCGCTCCCCAAGGAGAATCTCGGGGACCTAACTCGGTCTACGTCAAAACTTGCTGGGGGAGTCCATACATTGGGATGGGTGGCATGGCGGGGTTAAAATTGTACTCAAGTGTGTGTAAGGTCCTTAGATTGGGACAGGCAGTGTCACAGACGGTAAAATGTCTGTGAGGTTAAGAACAGAGCCTCCCCCCTCCCATGGATGAACCAGGTCACGAAACCGAGCTTTAAAGATGGGTGGTTAGGAAAGCCCACATTAAGGAGGATAGGGGAGAGGGGAAAGGGAGGGAGAGGTAGTCAGTACCTTTGACTGATACTGGGGTCTCACTCGCATGATATTTTTTTTTTTCCCTTTTTTTTTACACCATGTCTGTTTTATGTTCAAAAAATAATAACTTTCTCAATCAATTCTCTTTGTGGTGTTATATTATTTATATTTATTATATATATATATATATATATATATATATATATATATATATATATATATATATATATATATATATATATATATATATATATATATATATATATATATATATATATATTTTCAAGAACTGCATCCACAACAACAACTACTACTACTTTCCACATGTTTTGACAGTACAACCAGTATACCTCCCCCACGGCCCATCACCTTCCTCCCATCTGGTGACGCCTCAGGATCACGCCATCTTAAACAAGCAGTTAAACTCAACCGGTAAATTGTTACCCACAACTACCAGCCCCACCTAGACGGCCATCATCGTACATATATATAGGGCTACCTAGGCCACCACGATTCAGATTACTCCCAACTGCTCTACTAAGTACACCTGTTGACATATTATGTTGTGGTAACAGAGTTATTCAGTCTGGCTCTCATTATTCTAGCACCGTATTTCATTGGCACATTAACGTAACTTAAATTTATTTGTTAATCTTGTTTGTTTTGCACACTTTGTATTACAGCCAAGCCTGGATATTATTTTCTGTTTTGTAATTTAACATCAGTTTTCTTTCAAAGTAAAGTTTTTTTAAATGTTTTTTCCCTCTGTCTTATCCTACAGTTATTTCACCGTGAAGACAAATTACAGTCTTAATTTTTTTTCTCCTTTTGTTGTTTTATGTGACTGGCATTCCATCTGCCTAGAGAGACCCATCTATTTTTCTCTTCACAGATTTAAAACCACTTTTCACACTGTTTGCACTTGATGACATACGCATTTTTCATATGTAGCGCTTCGCTCACATCATCTCGTCAAATCATACTTCTAAATGCTTCATTACTTCCTGGGTTGCTCCTGCAATTATAGCCTGCAACAAGCCTAGGTGCAAGAGATAAACAAAATTAAATATTTACACAACATTTTCATCTTATAACTTTACACTTGTGTTCCCCGATCACAGGAAAATATAATAACAATAATAACAATGGTGACATTTTGCCCGCAATAGGGTGGGCAAGTCTGTCTAAAGAGAGGTGTTGAATGAGTAAGCGTCGGAGGCACGTCACCTTCCCCAGAGGTGTCAGGTAGGAGTTACCACAAAGAAATTATTACCTAATTATTTCAATGTCTCAGATTGATTTCTTCGTACTTTTTTGCAGTATTATTATTCAATAGTGTATTGTGTTGTGTGATATATTTATAAAACATCCCCACCTCACCTTGCCCCAAACACTATGCATACTAGTAGGTTTAGGTATTGTATGTACTAGCTCTATCTATAAATCCAACATTTTATTTGTAAATTAACTATGTACATACTTTCATGATTAAAATTTACTTTACTTTACTTATATAATAAAATATGGGACCATCACTGTACTCAAATTTATGGTGTGCATATTAGTGATTCAATTATGTTCACAAAACAATAAACACTTTTTTCTTGTTATTACACTATATACACAGGTAATATACAAGTATCTGTAGGTTTGATTCACCATAACGAACCACTATGTTGGTACAGTGAGTCAAAAAGCAACGAGGCGTGCCCACCACATCACCCAGCCAGCCAGCCAGTCAGTCCACTTCTTCTTAAATTACATCATTATGGAGTCAGAGGACACTCCCTACAATACCTCAAATCCTACCTTACTGACAGGCTCCAATATGTTTCTGTGAATAATACAATTTCTCCCACCCTACCCATCAACATTGGTGTTCCCCAGGGCAGCATACTTGGCCCTCTCCTCTTTCTCATCTACATTAATGACCTTCCAAATGCCTCCCAACACCTCAAACCAATTCTATTTGCTGACGACACAACCTTCATTTACTCCAGTCCTGATCCCCTTGCTCTAAATGCCACAGTAAATACTGAGCTAAATAAAGTCCATCTGTGGCTAACTGCCAACAAACTCACCCTTAACATTGACAAAACCTTCTATATTCTGTTTGGCAATAAATCCTCTAATCAAATAAATCTCAAAATAAACAATACCCAAATTTGTAACAAAT